ATACCCTTCCACATTTGGACTCCCCCCCTCCCCCCCTCCCAGCATTAATAATATTAATAATGGTGCCAGGGCAGACAAGGCGGCAGCGGCAGGGGCCGAGGCAGGGCGGGCTGGGTGTTGCGCGCAGACCACTGAAACCAAGCTTATTTTGACCTTGCAGGCGATAAAAGCGAAAATGGAGGAGCTTAGGCCCTTGATCCCAGTGTTGGAGGAGTACAAAGCCGATGCCAAATTGGTTTTGCAGTTTAAAGAGGAGGTCCAGAATCTGACGGCAGTTCTAAGCGAGCTCCAGGAGGAAATTGGCGCCTATGACTACGAAGAGCTTCAGAACAGAGTGTCAAATCTTGAAGAGAGGCTCCGGGCTTGCATGCAAAAATTAGGTAGGCCGTGCACACTGAGAAAGGACAAGCACCGTCCGCGTAGGGTCCGTGCGTTCCTGGGTGAGGAGAGCCAGGCCTGCAGGGCTTCCTGTGGGCCAGCAGCGGTGTCTGTCTGCAGTGCCAGGGGCTGAACTGTGGGGCGCGTGGCATTCAGGGCTGCAGGGGCAGAGTGCGTTTCCTTCCCAGCCGAGTCCCCGGCAGCTCCGGGCCGAGGGGAAGGGGCTCCAGATCAGGAGACACAGGCTCCTCTCCTGGGGAGGAAGTGCTGCCCAATGTCCAGTGCTGCCCGGCCCTGGGCGGAACCCTGCAGCTGCTTGTGCGTGCCTCGGCCAGGCTTTGGGTTGATTCTGCCCCAAACGGCACTCTACGTCTGCCACACGGGAGCCCTCTTTGGGTCACGGAGACACGTCCCACGGTCAGGGCTGAGCTGAGGAGGGAGGGAGGAGACACCTGCTGTGCAGAGGGAGAAAGGAAGCCCGAGAGACCCCACTGAACACACCCAGCCCTGTCCAGAGGGCACTCTGCACGTCCTCTGAGGGAAGACCCCTGTCGAGCTTGCCTGCGGTCCCAGGTGTGCTGCGTGCTTCCGGCTCCAGGGCCTCCCACTGGCAATGGGCAAGCTCTTCTGTCCGGGCCACACCAGAGCGGCTCCGGCCCCCGGGGCTTTGTGTGGGGAGGAGGGGAGCCTCTTCTGTGCTCAGTGTCTCTGGGGTGGGGCGGGGGTCACATCTTGGGGAGGAGCCCAGGAGAGAAGCTCACAAACGAGGTGGCTGTTTCAGAGCTGGGAGAGGTCAGCGGGGGGGTGGGGGTGGCTTGCTGGCTGTGGGAAGCAGCCAGCAAGGCTTGTTGGGGGAAGGGGCCTTTGCTGCTGGGGGGCTGGGCAGCTGGGGACTGCCGTTCTCTGGACAAGGCCGGGATGGCGTCCGTTGCTTGCAGCCCTGGGCCAGGGCACCTCAGATCCGTTGCCTTGGATCAGAAGAGAGGTCCCCGTCCCGTCCCCCGCACGCACACACACACACACACCAGGAGCTTCAGTTCCCCAAGCAAATGGATGGGCGTCATGCAGCAGCGGGGCCAGAAACCTGCTGGCCGCTTCTTTGGGCTCTGAGCCCAGGGGGTGTTAACGCGTGGCAGTCCTGGTGTCCTCGGAGACATTTTGTCGATGGGGCTGGGGCTCCCTCCGCTGTGCGTGGGCGTGTGTGCAGGGATGGTGCCCCTTCCGCCGTGGCGGGCAAGAGAGGAGAAAGCCCTCCTCCACACAGGGCATGCGCCTTTAACTCGAGAGGTGCGCCAAAGGTGGCGATGGCCGAGACCTGAGACAGCATCGGCCCCCTTCACGGAAAGTAGGTGGGTGGTAGCCATTGGGCAGGACAGCTGAGTGGAGCCTCCCCACATAGTGGTGGTGTACCTCTGAGTTGGGGTTGCCAGGATGGAGACTCGGGTGGGATGCCTCCTGCTCGCTCTCTCGTCCTTGCTTGCCGGCCCATCAGACTGGTGGGGCAACATCACGCTCAGCAAATACTGGGAAAGGAATTCTGTCGTTTTGAGGTCGATGTGATGTTTTAGGATTTGGGCAAAATTCTATGGCTTTTGCACAGAATGTTGTCACATCAGTGTCCCGCTGGGGACAGAACATCACTTCCTGGCATGGGCTGGAAGTGCAACAATGCGTGGTACCCCCTCTCTCCCCCCTTTTGCTCCCCAGCAGGTGGCCAGTCATCAGCCGGCCACCGTCGTTGCCAGCCTCCAGGTGTGTCCTGGAGACCTCCCAGAATCACAACTGATCTCCAGACCACAGAGATGAATTCCCCTGGGGACAAAGGGCTACTTTGGAGGGTGGACTATAGAGGGTGTCAGGCTGCACTGAGGTCCCTGCCAGTGTTCCCTCTAAGCTGAGTTAGTGTGAGCCAGCTCACAGTTTTTTAGACTCCAGCTCACACATTTTTGCCTTAGCTCAGGAAGGAGGGCTCCAGAGTGAACTAATTTATGCAGCAGCCGAATCGCTGGCTCACAACTTTAATGCCAGAGGCTCACAAAGTAGAATTTTTGCTCACAAGACTCCACAGCTTAGTGGGAGCATTGGTCCCTGCCCTTTCCAAGCCCCCCCCCCCAGTTCTGCCCCCAAATCTCCAGGAATATCCTAACCCTCATTTGGCAGCCCAGCGCGTCTTGAGGGCCAGGTGTGTGGACCAGGCCTCGTTTCCAGGCCTTTTAGCTGCGTGTGTCACCTGATGATGGCTGCTGGGTTGCATGGACTTTGGTCTGGCCCAGCACAGCATCTGTTGTTTGCTCTGTTCCATGTGGCCTCCTCTGAAGAGGCACTGCAGGCCTGACCCTCACGACTTCTGCTCTCTGTCTCAGAGTGAGGGATGGGCAGCCTCCGGGCCCAGTCCCGTCCCCCGAGGAGGTCCAGGTGCACCACGGCACAAGCAAACGAGGGGTGTGGCTGAGCAGAGCGGTGGGGAAGGTGCCAGCGCCGCCCACACCGCTCTCCTCTGCCGCACCCCTCGTTTGCTTGTGCTGTTGAATGTTGGAACACTTCGGATCTTCATCCCTCCATCCAGCACGTGCCGCTGAGGTCCAAAGCGCTCATCTCCCCTGGGGACGGGTGGGAAAGAGAGGCTTCCTCCATGAAGTGCTCCCTGCCCGTTTCCACTGGTTTTTTAAGGGGGACTGCCAACGATAGGGGGAAGTGTTTCAGAGGGAAGAAGGGCTGCACCTTCGCTCTGTACTGGCTTTTCCTGATTGGCTTCATAACATAGCAACAGTGTCATGCTCACAAAGGTGATCCCTGATTGGCTGGGTTGTTTTTTGTTTTGCTTTGTTTTAAGTGGCACCAGTGCAAAAGTGGGGGTGGTGGCAGTCATTGGGAAATGAATAGGATTGTGATTGGGAAATGGAAATTTGGGGGGAATGATGAAGTCACTCCTTCCCATGGAAACAGTTCTGCAGACCTAGCCACGGGCGCCTTACATTCTCTTGCCCCCAGTGCAATGATGTGGAGTGGGGGAGGGGGAGAACACTGCAGGGAGGCAGGGCAGACGATGAGGCAGGGCAGGGGGGGAGGGATGACGACACATGAGACACAGAGCCCGCCCGACAGTCCGGGCCGGGGTCTCCATGTCTAGGCTAATTTGGAAAAATTCTCTGGAGAAATGGAACACCCCTCCCCTGGCAGATCACAGGTGCAGAGAGAAAGCACACCCCGCCGGGCTCAAGATGCCTCCTGACCTGCCACCCAGATCGCTGGCATGGGGGCACATTGCCCACACTGCACTGATGACTGGAAATGGGACACTGGCACTGCTAACCGGCGGAACCTGGGCCATAACAGAGGCCCCGCAGAGAATGTCAACCTGCTCTGGCACAACAGAGGGAACAGATACATCCAGCGCACACTCTAGTGGGAGCAACTCCCAGGCTAGCCCAATCGCATCAGATCTTGGGGGCCCAAGCAAGCTTGGCCCTGGTGAGTACTTGGATGGGAGGCCACCAAGGCAGCCCAGAGTTGCTAGGCAGAGGCAGGCCAGGGCAAAAACCACCCCTCAACGTCTCTGGCCTTGGAAACCCCACAGGATGGCCATAAGTTGGCTGCGACTTGACAGCGCTCCCCCCTTCCCCCCAAGCCCCACTGAACACAGAGGTGCCTCTTTTTCAGCCAACATCTGTTTGGTCAGGCGGCATTTGTGCATCGCTGAGAATTATGGTAGTGTTGTGCTGTAGTATCACTTATCTCCTGGACTGTGTTCTCCACGGAGGAGGATCCAGTTGAGAAAGCAAATCTAAGCAGAGCTCAGTGTCCAGTGATATGAAGGTGTCATCCTGGGGTCCTTGGCCTGGCAGCAGCCTGCTGGAAATCCAGACGCAGAGCCTCCTCGTCCAACGGCTGCCTTGCCTGCACGTCAAGGCCTCTCCCAGGAAACAGCCCACCTCCCTTCGGAATCAAGTGGCTCCATGGCTGAATCTCTCTGACCCTGAGGGTTTCTTCCGAACGCGCAACCAAAACCGACCCCCCTTGCCCGTGAGCCCCACTCCCCAGAGGCCGGAGGGGGGGTTGTCTCTTCCCAGCAGTCTTGATGTCCCACCCCCCTGCCCTTCCTGGGGCCACCCAGGCAGCTCACTGTTCAAAACGTACTGCTGTGTGCCAGGCTGTGGCTTCGGCTTCCATGCCCCGCCTGTGACTTCTCCACCCGTCCGACGGGAAGGAGAAAGTCAGTAGACCTGCCCAGCCAGGAGTCCAAAAAGAGGTTCCTACGCCAGAAGGCTCTTGGCCTGACCCAGGAGCACTCTTTGCTCCCTGGCTTCCAGAGTCCCACCGTGCAGCCACAGAAACCGTGACCGGTACAGAGACAGGCCTCTTCTTTGGCTGTTTCCATCCCAGAAGCTCGAAGGACTTGGAAGGAGTTATTGTGTGGCAGGGGTGTAGACTTTCCAATTTCCGGGGGGGGGGGGCTGGGGCTGGGCCAGAGGCATTGCTTTGCTAGGAGCAAGGGTGGCTCCCGGGGGAGGCTGAGCACCTTCCTGAAAATTTCGGCGGGGGCTGAAGCCCTGCCGCCCCCGCGAAGATTACGCCTATGTTGTGTGGCGTCACAACCAAGGGTTGCAATTCCCTCTTCTTCTTCCTCATTCAGCTGCAGTTGCTGGGCATGTAGGCGGGGTGGTGGTGGTGGTGGTCAGCTGAGCCCCTCCCCTCCCCTTCAGCGCCACATTTGCATCCTTCCCTCCCGCGTACAAAGAGAGGGGCACAAAGAGTGAAGCCCCAGCCAGGTCCCGGCACCAGCTCCCAGGAGCCGAGCAGGCCCAAGATGCACTCTGAATACCGACAGATCCTTTGAACGGCTGCGCTGGTTTAAAATGGGTATTTGAACGTGGTTCTGTGAAGCTCGGGGGTGTGTGTGTAGGGGGAGCCAGTTTGGTGTAGTGTTTAAGTGTGCGGACTCTAATCTGGGAGAACCGGGTTTGATTCCTCACTCCTCCACTTGCACCTGCTGATGTGACCTTGGGTCAGTCACAAGCTCTGGCACAGCTGTCCTTGAAAAAGAGCAGTTTCTGTCAGAGTTCTCTCAGCCCCACCCACCTCACAGGGTGTCTGTTGTGGGGAGGGGAAGGGAAAGGAGTCTGTAAGCCGCTCTGAGACTCCCAAGTGAAGGGCGGAGTATAAATCCAATCTCTTCTTCTCTCTCTCTCTTAATGTAGCAGAGTTTTGGTGCAGGTCAAGATCACCTCCTCTGCAAATTCCCTTTTGACTTCTCCTTAAGCCAGGCAAAGGAGTGACATTTTACACGTGATCACCGCATGGAACAGGAAGATGTTTGCAAAGAAAAGAGAGAGATTAAGGAGGAGAAGGGTGGATTTATACCCCACGGCCCTTCACTACCCAAAGGTGTCTCAGAGTGGCTGACAAACTCCTTTCCCTTCCCCTCCCCACAACAGACACCCTGTGAGGTGGGTGGGGCTGGGAGAGCTCTGACAGAAACGGCTCTTTTTCAAGGACAGCTCTTATCAGAACTACGGCTTGCCCAAGGTCATCCAGCAGCTGCGAGTGGAGGAGTGGGGAATCAAACCCGGTTCTCCCAGATGAGAGTCCGCGCACTTAACCACCACACCAAACTGGCTACACCAAACTGGCCCAGACTCTGTGCCCTCTTGCTGAGGGGCTCCCTGGCAGGGGGTGCTGACCCCGCCCTCAGCTTGGCTCCAGTAGCTGACAATCGGGGCTCTGGGTCCGCCCGCCACGAGTCTCTCCAAACCTTGGCCAAGATAACAGCCCTCAGTTGGCAGTCGTTATTTCTTGGTGCAGGTGCCTTGCCCGCCCCCGGCATGCAAAGTAAAACTAGGACATTTGAATCGGACAAAAAACCAACCATAAAACAAATAATAGAAAATGTTCAGCAGCCAAAAACAATGTCCCCACAACAGCCTTCAAACCAGAAGCAGATCCTAAAACTGCTCAGAAAGATGGAACGTGTAATTAAAAACCCTAACTAAAGAGAAAAGTTTTGGCCAGGTGCCCGAAAGGCCGAAAGAGGGGGGCCAAGAGGGCATCTCAGGGGTGACCGCCTCACCTCAGGGTGGGGGAGGGGAGAGGGAGGCTGGCAGGCTGGACCACACGGGAGGGGCTGGCTCTTCAGGGGGCCCACCCCCCAACTTTGGAGGGGCACTTTGAATTGTGCCTGGGCACAGACGCCCAGGGTGGATCTTGCAGGGTGTGGGTGGGGGGGTGATACGATTCCTGTGTCCAGACCTCAGTGATGTTAATCCAATGACTGGGTCGTCATATTTTGGCCAATGGAAGTTTCCAGACAGTTTTCAACAGGCGGCCTCAGTTTTTGTCCAGTTGCTCAGTGAAGAAGGAAAAGCACTCTGCACAAGTTCAGACGTCACATATGATGTCATTTGGATCATGGCTCGGTATTGGCTAGGGAAATGGGTTCCGGGACTAAGGCTTTGATTGGTTTTTTGATAGCATTACAATCAAATAAATGTATGTGGTGTAGGGGTTAAAGTGTCTGCCTGGGATTTGGGAGACCCCCTCTGCCATGGAAGCTCGCTGAGGGACCTTGGGCCCTGCCTGACCTTCCTCGCAGGGTGGTTGTTGTGAGGATAAAATGGAGGAGGGGAAATGCTTTTTTAAGCCGCATCAGGTCCTCAGCAAGGAGAAGGAATAATTATATAAATAAAAGTAAAAAATACTCAAATCCCAAACACTGTTTCATGTGCCAACTGTTATTGCATGTTGCCAAATGCTAACTGGTATTGCATGTCAATGGTTAAATCCTGTTGTTACTATATAACTAGTATGGAGAGGAATTGTCACTGGATATCAGGCAGCAACATAAAATTTTCAACTGATTGAGAATATTTACTGTGAAAATTTGCAAAAGAGAATATGGGGGGAAATGCATTTTACCATTAGCAAAGAGTTTTGAGGTGGGGGTGGGGGTGGGGGTGACTGAGCTGCACTCCAGTTCCTGCTGGCCGGCCAGCCAGCCAGCCGGCATGCCATGTACTGCCTCTTCCCGCTGGCCGTTCTGCAGCACTGGCAGCCCAGCTGTTTGCAAGAGCCCTTGTTTTCGCGAGGCTCGGCAGTGGAGGCCTGTGCTCATTAAGAGGGAGGACATCTGATAGCTCTTCTCAGTTTAGTTATTTTTAATTAAGATAATCTTGAAAGGGAGAGTGACGGCAACAGCTCTATTGCAGCTTTCTGCAAACATCTGCTGGTCACTGGTGGGGGGGAGCTGGACAGCCCCGTGGCTTGCTCAGTTCGTCACATCGGAAGCCTTTCGGGGCCGGCCATGTGGTCGCTCCAGCAGCTGCATCGGCTGGCTCAAGAGAAGCACGCCGGTCCCCTTGGAGAACCAGAGAACCCTGCACAGTTTTGACAGAGGGGAGAGGAATTTGTGTTCGGGATTTTGAAATGGCCAATAACCCCAGTTCAAATCAAAAGCCTTATCTTGCAGATTCACTGTCAGGGGTGAAACGAATGTTATGACAGTTGCAGGTAAAGCACTTACCTGTGTAAGCATTCCACATTGGGATGCTCTGATGTGTGCATGCAATGTGCCCACCAATGTTCCCGCTGAGCTGTGGATTCTTGTGAGCAAAAAGTCTACTTTGTGAGCCACTGGCATTAAAGTTGTGAGCAAGCGATTTGGCTACCGTGTACATTACTTTGCTCTGGAGCCCCATTCTTCCTGAGCGAAGACAAAGATGTGTGAGCCAGAGGCTAAAAAAATGTGAGCTAACTCACACTAACCCAGCTTAGAGGGAACACTGGTGCCCACCCATGATACTCCGTGCTGAGCCAATGCATGTGTGAAGCCTATTTGGCTGTGATGTGGCACGTGCGTGCGGAGAAGTGCTTTACAGTCCCCCGGGGATTGGCAGGCCTCCCGCGTGAAGCTGGGGAGGGGGCACGTGGCAAGCCTGTTAAGCCACCTGGAGGTGTGTCGTCATTGACGTGCTCATGGCAGTGTTTGGCTGTTTTGCAGCCTGTGGCAAACTGACAGCAATAAGTGACCCGATCACAGTCAAGATATCCGGATCAAGGTTTGGCTCGTGGATGACCGACCCCCTGGCTCCAGAAGGGGAGAACAAGGTAGGCTCGCAGACCTCGGGATGCACCTCTTGCTGGGCCCTGGGGTGGCTGGGGTGGAGCGGAGGGTGTGTGGAGCTGTCCGGGAATTCCGGCAGGCCTTTCCAAACTGCCCTTTCGGTGTCTCGCTTGAGAGGAGATCCCGCCGGCCCCTCTGGAGAGGGCCAGCGCCATGCCAGTCCCTCTTGGTGCCCTGCGTGGGAGCCTCCCAGAGGCACAGAGCCAGCTGGGCAAGGGATGGGGGGGGCCTCTGGCCCACGCAGCAAATCGTGGGAGCCTCCCAGAGGCACAGAGCCAGCCAGGCAGTCGGGCAAGGGATGCCCCGTCAGCAGAAGGGGTGCCCCTTTGCACTGCCCGCTTCCCACAGCAGCAGCCCGGATTGATTGTCCTTTACTGACATGGCTCAGAAGGGATCACTGGAGGGGATTTATTTGCTCCTCAGTCCCTGCAACAGACAGGCTGAGCTGCGTAGGGAGGACATGGTCTCCAGATCACCTCCTCTTCCCCGAGATATCCGGGTGACAGTAGTGACAAGCTCATTCTCCCAGAGGTGGGAGGGAGCGCCCTTTGTAGGCAGGCCTCGGCCGAGAGAGGAGCTCTCCCCCTCACGCATGCAGATTTAGGCATTGCGCTGAGTGCTGCCGAGTGACAGAATCTCACCAGCTCATTGCACTCAGCCTGCGCTCGACAGAAGGAGGGCTTGGATTCTGCTGTCTGCCACCCTCCAGAAAGAGCTGTGGGCTTTGCAGAGCCAGGATGTTGTTGTACGAGTGGGATTTGGTGCCTGTGACAGAATTCGACGTGCAACACATTTGTTGTTATTGTCCTCCTGATTGCTGTGTTGTTATCAGTAACAATCACATTCTGGGCGGTTTGTCCTGTAGAGTGGCAGGAAGGTATGGATCCTGGAATCTGACCTCTGCAACCCTTCCGGCTTCTTTTGCCCGGCAATGGCCACAGAACTTGCAGCGCAGGGTCCCAGCCAGGAGGGCTCGAAGCTCTCTTTTTCAAAAAATAGCCACTGATGTTTTACTGCACTCTCTTCTTTTTCTGTGGTCTAGTACCATCACTGCTGACACGTAGCCCATATCAAGTTTTTGGGTTTGTGTGGGTGCGGAACTAATACTTAGACCCTCTAGGCCAGAGGCAGGTGACCTTTTGCCCCAGGTGTTGGAGAGGAGGTGCCCTCCTCGCCCTGGGCTCAGGAGGCAAATGGCGGCCAGGAGCCCCCTCCCCAGCAGGGCTGGCAGCACAACAACGGTCAGGGCCAGGGTGGCCTCAGTTGCTTGGGCGGGGAAGGACCCGTCCCTTGTAGGCTGAGCGGGAGAATCCAGTAAGCCACACAGGGGGCTGTGGGAAGTGTCCCATCCCTGGCCTGGGCGACATCCCCCCCCCACCCCGCCCAGTGGTGCTCAGAAATCAGGACGAGTGAGCCTCACCAGTCAGGCCCAGCTGAGACGCAAATCCTGCCAGGACTAGGGCCTAGGAGGAGAGGGTGCTCACCACAAAGACCTGGGCCACTCAGACATGCCCACCAAGCGAGGTGGGGCTCTGCAAGGTCAGACCGGTGGTCTATCCGTCACATTCAAGGTTCTGTTTTCAAGAGATGCGAGGCAGGGAAGCAACAGCCCTGCCATGCTGGCCTGTCTCAGGCACACGACATTCAGCCACACAGGGGGCTGTGGGAAGTGTCCCATCCCTGGCCTGGGCGACATCCCCCCCCCACCCCGCCCAGTGGTGCTCAGAAATCAGGACGAGTGAGCCTCACCAGTCAGGCCCAGCTGAGACGCAAATCCTGCCAGGACTAGGGCCTAGGAGGAGAGGGTGCTCACCACAAAGACCTGGGCCACTCAGACATGCCCACCAAGCGAGGTGGGGCTCTGCAAGATCAGACCGGTGGTCTATCCGTCACATTCAAGGTTCTGTTTTTCAAGAGATGCTCTTGTTTCAAGAGATGCGAGGCAGGAGAGCAACAGCCCTGCCATGCTGGCCTATCTCAGGCAGATGAAATTCAGAGGCACACTGCTTCTGTCCATGCAGGTTCCAGTTAGGAGCTCGTGACGGATCTCTCCCCCATGAATTTGACAAGCCCACTTTTATTAAGTTAGTAATTTAGGTATTTGTTGCATATATATTCTGCTTTTCAGCGCCTCTTCAAATCAAGTTATATAAAAAGGTGTAAAAAATTTTCTTCACGAGTGGTCATCGTGAGGGCTGCTTGGCTGCTGTCGCCCCCTCGCTGTCGGGGTCTCAGCAACAGCAGTTTGCAAAGGGGGTGGGGGGAGACCCAGGCTCATTGGGAGGCATCTGGCTGCTCATAGTTTCACACAAAGCTGCGTTAACAGCCACCCTCTCTTGAGGGCGCCGTGTCCTTGATGCCCAGTTCCGCTGGGAGCATGGGACGTACTCCACTGAAACACCCTTTGCGTGAAGTGGTGTGAGAAGTCACCTGGGTCCCCTCTTTGACGTACCTGCCCACGACGACCGCTTCACCACGCCAGCCTTCCCTTAAGCCACTGAATAAGACTTGCACGCCTGTGTGAACTGGCCCTTCCATCAGGTATTGCAAAGTGAAGTTCAAATCCAGGCCCCACAGGGCAACCTGGCCCCTGCTCGCTCCCTTGCATTGTGTCAAATGGACCTGCGGGTGCACCTTCTCTAACACTGGTTTGTGTGTGTGTGTTGTGTGTACAGGTCTGGTATATGGACAGCTATCACAACAATCGCTTTGTCCGTGAGTACAAATCCATGGCCGATTTTATGAACACAGACAATTTCACCTCTCACCGTCTCCCTCACCCGTGGTCTGGAACCGGCCAAGTCGTGTACAATGGCTCAATCTATTTCAATAAATACCAAAGTCACATAATCATCAAGTTTGACTTGAAAACGGAGACCATCCTTAAGACTCGTAGCTTGGATTATGCTGGCTACAACAACGTCTACCACTATGCCTGGGGCGGGCATTCCGACATTGACCTCATGGTGGACGAGAATGGCCTTTGGGCCGTCTATGCCACCAATCAGAATGCGGGGAACATTGTCATCAGCAAACTGGACCCCAACACCTTACAAAGCATCCAGACCTGGAACACCAGTTACCCAAAACGCAGTGCTGGTGAAGGATTCATCATCTGCGGTACTCTGTATGTCACCAATGGCTATTCGGGAGGGACCAAGGTGACCTACGCTTATCAGACCAACACTTCCACTTATGAATACATAGATATCCCCTTCTTAAACAAATATTCTCATATTTCTATGCTGGACTACAACCCCAAGGACAGAGCCCTCTATGCCTGGAACAACGGCCATCAAATACTCTACAACGTCACCCTTTTCCATGTTGTCCGATCTGATGAATTGTAGTCCACTTCTATCTGGAAAGGAATTGAATGCATAACAAAAACAAACAAGCAAGAAAATAAATACACGCGATGTGGAAATATACCTATTCAAGAAAAAAAAAATACAGAAAGAAATTTCAGAAACAGAGCAGCTACCAAAATGTGTGAGCAAGAGGATGAACCAGACTTGAAAACTTGCAAGATCAGCACTTAACTTTCCAATGTTCACAGATTTAAGATGTGTTCTAGACAATGCAAAAGTTAAAATAAATCACTTGTTTGCAGCTGGAACTGCACTGGAAAAACCACTTTTGAGGAGGGTTTTGGAGGGTGGGGTGTTTTCTTCCCCTTATGTTCCAATAGCAAAGCTGTAGTTATATAGTACAATGTAAGGCAATGACTGTTGGAAATTTATTGTTGGGGTGGGTGTGGGGGAAATACAGTTCTCTCTTGATTTTCTCTCTCTCTTCTTTTTTTTGGTAAGTTGCATGGCCATTTTCGTACATCACAATCAGTTATGATGGATGTGTAGTTTGTATTTGGAAATATTCAGTTGATTCATGTTGGCAGTGTCTGATTTAAGAAACAAGAGGTCAAAGGGTTGGGGTTGCCATTCTGTTGGAGCTAGCTACCTTCTCTCCCTCCCTCTCCCCCTCCCTCTCTCTCCCCCACCCCTCTGTTTTATGTCACCTTTAGGATAACTGTTTGGAGACCCAAAGTAGCTAATGGATCTGTGTCTTTAATAGCTATAAAATTTTTGAAAAAGGAAAAAAAAAGAAGTTTCCAGTATATACTATGAACAAATTGTTGTACCCAAATATTTGTTTGAACTTATGTATCCAGCCAATATCTTGTACAATGTATGTCTGTTATTAACCAGAGGTGGCAAAATTTGTATGTCCAAGTTTATGCAAATGAATGTTGTAAATGCAAATGATGTCATTTGGATTAATAAATGAAGGTTTCATATCTTAAAAAGATAAAAGCAGTGCAGCATTTGCCCTTAAGCACATATAACGGTTTTAGTGAAGATAATAAAATTAGAGGTGTATCCCCCCCCACCCCTCCACCCACAAGTCTTGTCAAAATTCTTTGTTCTTGTATGTTTCATCTTAGAGTCCTCAGATTTGTTTCAGATTTCACAGCAGACAAAACTGTTGGTAGTACCTTGAAATGCAATTACTGTTCTTTTAATATCTAAGATATATCATCGTCAGAGTCTTGAACTCTGTTGCTCAACACCAGTTTTGTTTATTTCCTTAGATCCCTTAAAATTGCTGCTTTTTAGACAAACAGCACCTTCCAAGTTTCTAGTCCTTGTATTGCTGAGAAATTTAAAAAATCTTTTTACATGCATTCTATTTATGTATTTATTTATTTCAATTTGTGATCCACCCTCCCCTGTAAACAGGTCATGTGACCTGGCAGTGTAGCATGTACATCACTGCCCATGCACCCCAGAGGCGCCAGCATGACTAAGGGACGGCCCGTTGCACGATGACAGCGCTGCCGGTCCAACAGCTGCTCTGCTCTGCGAGCCCTCCCAAGGCAGTGGAGAAGAGGGGTGGACTCTCACCTGGAGAATCAGGGCGGGGGGTGATTCCCCACTCCTCCTCCCCGGGAAGCCTGTTGGGGGACTTTGGGCAAGTCACGGCTCTCTCTCAGAGCTCTCCCAGCCCCACATACCTCACAAGGGGCCTGTTGTGGGGAGAGAAAGGGGAAACAATTGTAAGCCGCTCTGCCTCAGGGTAGAGGAAATGGGGCATGAAAACCAACCCTTCTTCTTCTTCTGACTGGATGGCCCAGGCTAGCCTGATCTCATTGGATCTCGGAAGCTAAGCAGGGTCGGCCCTGGTGAGTCCTTGGATGGGAGACCGCCGAGGAAGTCCAGGGCTGCACTGAGTCAGGCCGTGGCAAACCACCTCCGTTTGTCTCTTGCCTTGACCGGGATGGCCCAGGCGAGCCTGATCTCGTCAGATCTCAGAAGCTAGGCAGAGTCGGCCCTGGTGAGTCCATGGCTGGGAGACCACCAAGGAGGGTCCGGGTTCACTTGGCAGAGGCAGGCAATGGGCAAACCATCTCTGAATGGCTCCTGCCTTGAAAACCCTACGGGGTCTCCATAAATGGCTGCGGCTTGATGGCATTTCCCATCGTTACGTGAGTATCAAGGGCTGGGGGCAGTTTCTCTCCATCATTTTTATGGATTGTCCATTATTTGGGGAGTAAAATTATCAGCACAAATGACCTGGGAAAAACAATGTCTATGGAAAGCTACTCAGAGACAAAAAATGTAAACACCAGGCAACTATCCTGAGACCCCCATATTTGTAACCTTACTGGCAGACAGTGTGCAGGTCCTTCTAGACCGACGGCGGGAAGCTGCCTTGCTTTATACGGAGCCTGTCACCAGGATAGACTGCTCTGACCTTCAGCCTACGCTCTGCGCCCTGTGATCCTTAAACTAGAAAAGGCTGGACTTGAACAAGGGATTTTCTGCATGCAAAGAAGGTGCTCTGCAGATGAGCCCTGATCCCTTTCTCTCAACAGTGAGACATCTGGGAGCAGGTGTTACAGAAGGTGCCACGGACAGAAGATCCTAAGGCTGAGGACAGACTGGCAGTATGAAGCGCGAGGGAGGCGGGGCAAAAAGACCCAGACCAAGTTGTACCGGGGATTCCCGGTCGCACTGCACCTACTGATGCGGGAGCATACTGGGGAGGAGGCGCAAGAGAGCGTTCACACTGTTGGCCCGCCCCTGGCAGAGGCGCGGCTGTAAGCGGTTTTTTTCCACTCCGGCGACATGCGCATAGGCGCAGCACCGCAGCAATGTGGCTTGTTTGCAGCTTTTAGCGTGCACACGTCCGGGAAGCAGGATCAACGCGCCCTCCAGGGTTTGCTCTGGCTTTCACCTGGTACTTTTTAAACTCAGTGGGGAATTGTCATGGGACAGGTTAGGCAGGCAGGGGTGGAGAGAGGCGGGGAGGAAGCAACTTACCCTCCCTCTTCTCCTGCCTCCTCCTGGCTGAATGAGGGCCTCACCCCCGAATCGACCTCTGCATGGCTGTAAGTGGCTTTTTTTCACTCCGGCAACATGCGCCTATGCGCATAGGTGCAGCAATGTGGCTTGTTGCGGATTTAGCGTGCACACTTCCAGGAAGCGGGATCAACGCGCCCTCCAGGGTTTTGCTACTGCTTTCACCTGGTACTTTCTTAACGCGGTAGGGAATCGTCACAGGACGGGTTGAATACGGCTGGGGAACGCCTGACAGCTGTGGCTGTGTGAACCGGCCCCTTTAATCCGTTTGTGAAATGTGCCTGTAGCGGGCCAAACTGCCAGCCTGAACTCAGCCTAAGGAAGAGTCATTGTTGGTGGAGACAGACTGGGATCCCAAGTTGGTGGGATTCTTGCAAAGAGCTTAGTGAATCTTGGACTGACCCCAAGGCCTTTCTTGAGTTCTCTTGCAAGGGTCAACACTGGATAGTTTAGCCTGGCTTCAGGATCGAGAGATGGGAGTACTGCACTTGTAACGTGGTTTGATGCACATCCATGTAACACAAATAAAGGGGTGGGGGGGATTGCCAGCCCACAGGCAG